AGTGTGAGAATTGGAGAGACACTTTCTTGGCATCTAGTTGGATTTCTAAATGTATTTTCTGAGAGACATATAGAAAATGGTTGTTAGACATAGTTGAAAATAGTCAAGTTAGTAGTAAATAAGCTGAGGGCTGGCCTGAGAACCTATCTACCATTTATAACATTTTCTATGGGAAGCTGAGTTATGAGCAACCGAAAATAAACGAACATGAGCTGTATCCCATTTGTACATCAGAGCCAGCCTTTGGTGAGAGGAATAAATGAGATAAAACGAGAAAGCACAGTTTCACAGATTGTTTGCCTCAGAGCGCTGTTAAATGACGGAATAGATTCCTCATATTCAATGCCTACTTCTTTAACCATTGATTTGAAGTGCTTCAAAAAAAGAACCAATACATACTCAGCAGGATTGAGAGTAATTTATTGTGATTGTCTTTGTTCAGCTTTGAAAACTAAGGCATTGATATTAAGACTAAAGAGAAATTACATAGAGCTGGTGTGATTGAAAAAAGTTTGGCTCTTTCGAGTGATTTTTTTGTTTTTAATGCCAGAGAGTTAAGCTTTAAAAGCACGCTTCATTGAATCCCATCCAAGCCTCCTAGGACAGGGCTGGGGGACCTTTTTTCTATTGAGGGCCACTGACCCACAAAGAAAAAAACTAATCAAGGGCCATGTACAAAAAGCAACTTAATTTAGGTGCTTCCTTAGGAAACCATAAAGCATTGAATTCACCTGCTTTTTAAATTAAGAACAAGGAATTCTCAACAAGTACAACAAATAAAAAAACCCTTCAGTTTCATATTATGCACCATTTAAGAGGTGGGGTGGGGTCAGATAGAACTACATGGGTAGAGTGAAAAGAGAGTGGAAAGCAGACAGGAGAGTCTTGAGGGACTAGAAGCGATACATGAAGAAGAAACTATATGTCAAGAGTCATGGAAGCAGGAGATTGAATTAGGGAAATATGGGAGAGAAATGCCAGTTGTAGATCATAATCTACTATTCGCTAAGGTAGTAGACTAATGGTCAACTGCTGTAACCAGCTGTTCCACAGCTGGAATTCAGAAGCCTTTCTAGCAACAATTCTTAAGGAAGGGTCAGAATCACCTAGAGCCCTTGTTAAAAAGTACAAGTGTCTGATGCTACCCCCACAGTGGCTGTCTACCTGTCCCATCTTTATTCTGTTGTCCTCGTGTTCAGCTGTCTCAGCCTAAAGGAAAATTTGTGGCATCTTTCTTCAATGAGAAGAATATAAGATCACCGGGCTTAGGAAGGAAATCTCCAGAAAGAAAAGATTTCTCACTCAGACACAGCATTTTAGAAGCAGTCTCAAACACATAAGACAGAATGCCTTTTAAATAATATGCACGCCCTAGCTTTCAAAATAAACCATTTTGGGTGCTTAAAGTAGAAATATTCAAGTTTTTTAAAAAAAGCTGAATTAGTTGCTCGAGTCTTCAAAGATTTTTTACCAGAATATGGAGCTATAATTTCATTTTCAAATGCACCCAGACTTGTCCTCCTTTTCCTCCCTGTGCTTCTCATTAGCACTAACTAGTTATGGCACTGAATCCCCAGTAGCCCAAGTATGTCTTGGGGTTTAATTCACAAGTATGTCTTGGCCTACGTGTGTCACAGGGCTTTTGGCAAGAATGTCAAATTACATTTTCAAGTAATGCTTTTTAGAAATGCAGACAGGATAAGTGGTGCATTCAGGGCTATATGGCCCAAAGTGCGAACTTTGCACTGAGGGGCAGATAACTTTGCCAACAGAAACATTAGCCAAGTATCTACCCTGTTGTTGTCCTTTACATAAGGCAAGCCTTTCACCATTAGACAAAATCTTCCCGGAAAGATCTCTCTGAGATGAAAGTGCACTATTTTTTTTCTTTTTAAAATTAGATATTGCAGGCCAGGCACGGTGGCTCATTCTTGTAATCCCAGCACTTTAGGAGGCCGAGGCGGGTGGATCACCTGAGGTCAGGAGTTTGAGACCAGCCTGGCCAACATGGTGAAACCCTGTCTCTACTAAAAATATAAAAATTAGCCGGGCATGGTGGCACATGCCTGTAATCCCAGTTACTTGGGAGGCGGAGGCACGAGAATCCCTTGAACTCAGGAGGCGGAGGTTGCAGTGAGCTGAGATCACCACACTGTACTCCAGCCTGGGCAGTAGACTGAGATTCTGTCTCAGAAAGAAAGGAAAGAAAGAAAAAAAGAAAGAAAGAGAGAGAGAGAGAGAGGGAGAGAGGGAGGGAAGGAGGGAGGGAGGAAGGAAAGAAGGAAAGAAGGAAAGAAGGAAGGAAAGGGGCACTAAAACAAAGTCATGCCCCAGTGTTCCAGTATCAACAAGTCTCGATAAGGTTCTGCTTGAAGGTCACTGGTGGAGATGAGATGGGTGGAGTGCCTGGGCCACTCTGGGCCTTTAATGTGTGCCAGTGTAAATGGTGCCATCCACTCAGACGAGGTTACTAGGAAAACTTTTATTGCTGCTACCCGTTTTTGAAGGGTATATCCTTAGTATAAATTTCCTGTGGGTGAGTTTAAGCCTGTCAACATCTAGCACCTTCTTCAACAGAGAAAATTATTATTTCCTGCTGTCTCTTGGTATTTTCTTGCTTTGAGGTGTATGTGTGTGTGTGCGCATGTGTTTGTGCATGTACCCATGTACATTGGGGGCAGGGAAAAAAGATGGGTACTTTTCTGTGAGCTTAGAAACCTATTTTGATAGGATCCAGTAAGTGACCCTTATGTGTGAACCCTGTTGACATTAGGTGAGCATAGTTTATTTTCCAAACTCACAAGTTATTTTGCCTTAAAAATTCATCCATACCACAATGGAATCTTTGCAGGTGCTTGAAAAAACAGCCTATCCTATAATGAATTTTAGCTTATAACAATCTTTAAAAATTTTATTGAAAGTCTTTATTATGAAGTAATTCATTTGAACCATCCTCTGTGGGTTCTCATTCTGAGCAATCCAATTCATTTTCTAGAGGGGGTATGAGTGTAATATGTATTATTTAATATAGCGACAACACTGTACTATTTGAGGGCCTTCATATTGTTTTATGTGTTAAGACTGTAATGGAGGGAACCCTTACCTCAACCCTGAAACCAGGAGACAGCTGAATCTTTCTGTGTTAATTATATGTCCCAGTACCAAAGGCCTGCTGTGAACTTGTTAAGCCAGTGAAGAGGGAGTTTTGTTTTTTGTTGTAACAAAGGTGTTTCCATAAAACCGAGCCATAGCAACCCCTCTTCTGCCACTAACGAGATCTAAGATATTCTGCAGTCTCACAGCTCTAAACTTGATTACACAACCTTTTTTTTTTTTTTTTTTTTTTTTCCTTTTTTTACTGTTAGAATTATCTGTTGACCACGGTTTTCAGAAATGCCAAAAGAAACTTTTAGCAGTTTCTGGATGAGGAAGTTATTTGAAGATTGTTGCCCTTTCTGCCTTTCTTACATTGTCCTTTAATGCTGCATACTCCCCTTTTTTGGGGGCAGTAACATTCTCCTTACTTTTTAATTGCCAGGAAGGAAGAATGATCGGGAACATATATGATTATATAATTATTTGCATATGTGCAGTAGACAATCTAGTGTTAGTCAAATAAATTGCCAGCTCAATTTTATCTGAAATACCCTGCTACCCTAAAGCTGCTTTGATATCTCTATTAGGCGAAGCCCTATTTCCTGTAAGTACACATGGCCAAGAAACAGCAATGACCAGCTCATGGACCATTTCGTTTTCCATGATTAGTGTTGTTTGAATGATTAGCTTTTAATTCCCCATCACTTTGTTGATTGGACACACTTACCATTGACAGGTTCATATGTCTTCAATATACTCATTCCTGAGTTCCTCAGATCACCTCTCTCTTCGGACCCGTTTTGACTTACATAGAACACGGACAGCAATAGCAGAAGGAACAGTGAAAGTCAATCCTTGTAAACATGTGTACAAAATTATACCACACCAATTAATATTGGAGAGACTGAAGTGATAGTAGCTAGTGGGGTTTATTTTTGAGTGGCATTGCATCTTGTGGTCATTATGAGGGAAGAGACATTGTCTCTTCAAAGCACAATTTTTGTTCTGTGACGGAGAACAAGGGGGGAACTCTGGGACGTATAGAAAAAAACCCTGCCTAAACCTCACCTTCAAACTGCAAGCGAAACGCAGTTGGTATAAGGGAGGGAAATACTTCGTGGGTTGGGTTGCTGTGGAGTGATGTGTCTTTGACATTTCCCTTGACTCTTGGGGCTGCATCACTACATAAAGGCGTTTATTGGAAGTTGTTGGTCTATACTGGGATGATGTTACATATACAGAATCATAGGGTAGATATAGTCTCTGACATCTGCACAGAATACATTGGATTAAAAAAAATCTGAAACTTAAGGATTGAGGATTACCATTACCCCTTTGTGATTTATCATAGGCTCAGATCATCCAGCATAAACCCCTATAGTTTCCTCTTTGCTGACAACCCTTGAAATGCACAAATCCCTTTGTTTCCCCACAATATAACTATTGCACATATATTTGCTCAGTTTTTGTCTGTTGTCACATATTTTATAAATCATTCGTCATTAAGGACAATCTCTCTTGGAGTGTAAACTCCCAAATCTGGAAAAACTGTGTCTCGTTTGCATGACTTCTGCAGTATTTAGCATAGAATATGAGAATCTCTGGGAATTTATAAAAGAGACTTTAGTTGACATGGAATACTATATTGTTTATTGACCACACCAATTTTCCTGTGGTTTAGCCATCTCTCTGATTGGAAAGTTCTTTTGCTTTTTGGAGAGGGCTTTATTTATTTTCTCAAAAAGGGAATGAATATTTTTAGGCTTCCTGGAACTTGTTAGGTACACATAATGCCTGGGCCTTTGCAGGAACCTCACAGGTTGAAATGAACCTAAATCAAACCCTTCCCTCTTAGACTTGATGAATGATGATAGACATTGACTGTCCTACTTTTTATCTTGCAGGTGATCATTTGAAGATCTGTCCCCAGGGTTCTACCTGCTGCTCTCAAGAGATGGAGGAGAAGTACAGCCTGCAAAGTAAAGATGATTTCAAAAGTGTGGTCAGCGAACAGTGCAATCATTTGCAGGCTGTCTTTGCTTCACGTTACAAGAAGTTTGATGGTATGTTATTCAAGTCATATGTAAGAGCCGGCAGTTAAGTCTGTACTGTAGCTTTTTCACAGCTCCTCTGCTCCCTCAGTGCTTAAGTTTTCTCCCAAGATGTTGTCCTTGTTGGATACCAGAGACGAGTTAGCCCCGTAGCTTTATGGCTAGAACACTTCCGGATGCACTGGAATCTGTATGGTAGGCATTATGGAAATATGGTCACAAGGAGCCAAAAAATAGATTAGTTTAACTTAAATGCTTTCATTTATTTTCTTGGATGAACACAGAATAGTGTTATTGACGCAAATCCCTTTTTAGAAAAAAAGACCTCCTAATAAAAAGCAGGCATCTGAAAACTGTCTTAGTCAAAATAGAATTTACAGATGCTAGACTTCAAATTAAATTTCAAAATGGATCCCCAAAGACAACTAGAATTCCTAAAAGTTTTGCAGAACACAGACAGGATTAAAGTTCTTGAGTTTCCATGCAGCAGAGACCCAAAAGTAGCTATTTTACTATAGCCTTCATTAAGCTGGGCTCCATCCAGCCTCACATTAACTGAAGCTCTTGCATAGTCTTTCCATGTAAAAGCCACAACAGAACCCATTCTAATCACCTGTGCCAGACATGACTTCTCACAGGCACACTTTCTCTTAATATTGAAGAAATAGCCAATATGAGCCAATTGAGAGTGTACTTTGGTCCTATCTGGACAATGGTACAGATAACAGACTTTAAAAAATAGAATATGGAGTCCAAAACACCTCAGGATTCTTTTCCCTGGTGCTGTTCACTCAGTTTGAAGATTGTTATGAAGTAGATTTAGTTTTAAGAGGAATGATTTCCTTTGTGCCTGTTTTAAAGGCCATTCTAATTACATAGTACCTTTGAAGCATGCTTTTCTTGACATTACGTGTGGTGAAGAAGTACAAGACAAATTTTCTAGATATGAAATGTCTTTGAGTATTTCTGCAAAGGGCTTGTTACCATGGTGAGAAAGTTAGACTAAATTAGATTTGATATAGCTGATAAGGCAGTCCTCAGTTAAAGAACAGGTTGTATTTCAAATGTTGGCTTTGAGATTTGTTATTTCAAACTTATAGCCAATTTAATAAGTGTTAGGTTCCCAGGTGAGACCACAAAAGCATATTTAATCTATAATGTAGTTGAACTAAAACACTGTCTATGGAGTATGCCATTGATCCTACCCATTTTTTCAAACACACTATGTGGAAAATTGTGTCTTAGTTCTATTACCTTTCCCTGGATGAATGGGAACAATTTATATATCTATATATCCTTCTTATTACCCGCATCCCTCTACATATATGCTGTAGCTGTTAAGAATATTTAACAGTATGTTAATACCACATGAAAATGGGTGTTACTGGCAAAATCTATCATTAGACCTCCCCTGTCTCTCCTGATCACTGAATTATTATTATTGAAAATAATGGTGTTTTCTTGACTATGACATTTCTCATTCAAGATAATAACCTAAGTCTTTTGTTTTACTTTGGAGAGAAAACTTAGATAATTAAATGGTCATCTTTGAAAACTTAAGATGTTGATATTTAAAAATCACCACTTAGGGGCTTCATAATGGAATTTAGAAGGAAAAAAAAATCTGCTCTTTAGAAATGACTCTCCTGTTGGCAGCACAATGTAGTGGAGATAGAGTTGTTTCTAAGTTCCAAAGCCTTCTACTCCAAGCCACCTCATTTCTTGTTAGACTTCTGTCTTCCTGGCAGGGAGCCCACAGTCATTGCCTATGGGCCTGCTGGTTTAGCTATTCTTTTCCCTTCTCGCTCCCCATGGTTTTATAGCACTACTATGATTCCAATGTGTAGTTTTTGTTTTGTTTTGTTTTGCTTTCTTTTTTCTTCTTAAACCATACAGAGAAACTTTATCTGTAAGTGTTAACATGTGTTTTTTAAAAAGGATAGAAAAACAGTTTTTCTTGCTCTTCCCTACCAGGCTTCACATTCAATAAATATGTTAACACTATGCCTTGATCAGTTCCAAAACTTTAATGATTATGAAACTCCAGTGTTTTTTTCTGACTTCAAATTAAAATATGGCATAGGCTGGGCATGGTGGCTCATGTCTGTAATCCCAGCACTTTAGGAGGCCACGGTGGGCAGATTGCTTAAGCCCAGGAGTTCTGAGCAACATGGCAAAACCCTGTCTCTACTAAAAATACGAAACTTAGCCAGGAGTGGTGGTGTGCGCCTATGGTCCCAGCTATTTGGGAGGTTGAGGTGAGAGGAACACTTGAGCCTGGGAGTTCAAGGCTGCAGTGAGCCAAGATCATGCCACTGCACTCCAGCCTAGGCAACAGAACAAGACCCTGTCTCAAAACAAATAAATGAAATAATATAACAAAATACAGCATAGACAATAAAGTTAGGGAACATAGATACAAGTTTTTTTAAATAGGTAGTAGCTGAAATGTATTTGATCTAGAGATCAGTATACTGGAATGCTGGAATACTGGAATGCCAGAATACTTTGCACATTTTCTCCATGTTAGGTTACAGAAACAATGAGATAATTTTATAAAAATCTTAGTTGACTGGTACTAATAGTTGACTATGAATATGCAAATCATAGTCCCCTTGTGGGTGCTGCATTGATTGACTAATTTTTTGTTTGTTTGTTTTGAGATGGAGCCTTGCTCTATTGCCCAGGCTGGAGTGCAGTGGCTCAATCTTGGCTCACTGCAACCTCCACCTCCTGGGTTCAAGTGATTCTCCTGTCTCAGCCTCCCAAGTAGCTGGGATTACAGGCACACACCACCACACCCAGCTAATTTTTGTATTTTTAGTAGAGACGTGGTTTCACCATGTTGGCCAGGCTAGTCTCGAACTCCTGACCTCAGGTGATGCGCCCGCCTCGGCCTCCCAAAGCTCTGGGATTACAGGCGTGAGCCACCACGCCTGCCAATGATTGACTAATTTTTAAGACTGTCAATTAGGACTTGCCAGTAATTCTCAAGGCCTGCCAATCCAAGGGCATTGATTAACAGGCTGCCTATAGGATATGTCTTGATTTTCAGAAATTCAAGGGTAGTTGCTTTGGTCAAAGAATTATCCAAACTATTATAATAGCTAAACCCTGGCTCTTTGGTGTGAATCGAAGAGAGAAATTTGGGCAGACTAAAAAGTTGGTGGTAGGGAACCAAGATGGAGCAGTGAAGTTGCACAGAGACAGCTGGGGACATATAGTAAGGAAATAGTAAAAGGACACATGGAAATATTCTGGGTCAGGCAACTTCAAGGGAGTACCTTTTGTCATCTGCAAGCTTATAGTGTAAATTCAAAGTGGTGACTTTGACCCCAGACAACTTTGTCTACCATCAAAACCTGTCTATGTCTATGAGATACTACTTTCTAAGGTAGAAATAATTACTTTTAAAGTAATTATTGAAAAAGAAAAAACTTTCCAACAAAAAAAATGTTTGGGGGCTTGTAGAGAGTTAGCCTTCTGTTACCGGAAATAATTCCATTATCCCAGTTTTCCATCATTCTTCCTCAGTTGACCCTGGTCAGGGTTATAGTTGCCAGCTCTGGCATTTTTGGAGTCATTGGATTTGAGAGATGAGTTCCTTCTCCAGGTCCCTTACCTCTAAGGCCCTTTTTTGTTCTGTACTTTTAATTTTCTATCGTTTGTACATCTCAAGAGACTACACTCTGTATCAGTTTTTAAGATATAAACATGTGTGTGTGTTTGGATTTGGGTGAAGTACAAGAGAAAACTTCCTCCGCCTCAAAAATTATCACATTTCTTATATTTTAAATACATATAACTGAGTTTAAAGATTGGCATCTCTGTTTTTGTATGCTGTCGTTTTTTAAACCCACTTTATAACTTAGGGTGTTTAATACCAGAAATCTGCTGTCTGCTGGAGACAGAGCCAGATTGTGGTAGTGACAGAGCTAGCTGCTCCCCCTCTTGGCCAATTCTGGGAATTTTTTGATAGTAGAGCTGCTAATTAACTTAGCTGAATTAGTCATCTCATGAATATGCTAATCACATACTTAATTCAGGAGGGAGTTAGGGAAAATTGCTTGGCAAAGGGAATAGAAATAGAAGTGGGGCATAATCCGTGTTTTGGGACTACAGCATGAAGACCCATCCCCAAATGCCTGGCATTTTGTGAGAAAATAGTTTTTAAAGGAAGCATAGTTAAAAACCCAAATAGGTTAAGGTGATTACAGCTGCCACGTTAAATGTATTTCTGAATTACCTAGTAAAAATGATGTTATAACTATGAAGTAATATCATTGCTATATAACTGCCTGTATCAAACTGTAGATATTTTGCGTGTTTGAAGAACTAAGGAAATGCATGTTGTCTGATGCTAGTCTATTGGGAAAACTCCTTTGTCATTTTTAGAGCAAATTTAGCAACTTTGGATGGGAGGCAGTGCACAGTGAATTATCATCCTAGTTCTGCAGTGAACCCACTGTGACTGTGACCTGGGGCAATTAATTGAGTCTCAGTTTTCCCATCCATAAAATGAGGGGGTTGAGCTAGATGCTCTTTAAAACCCTTTCAATTCTACCAATTCTGTGAATCTTTTAAACATGTGACTAGACCAGCTGCTTTAGTGAAAGGCCTTACAAGATGTTAATTAGCCGTCTGTATGGTACCCTCTATTTTCCCTCTATCATTTTTTAACTCTCAGCTACTTTCACCAGGTCTTTGAAAAACCCTCCCATGAGCCTGAAGCTTGTTAACTTGAATAATAGTAGAAATTTTCTGAATTAGCTTAAAACGCACATAAAAGAAATAATTGTCTGTCCCATCTATCTGCATGGGCCAAGTGTAAACCAAGCAGCTACCCTTCCCTTAAGCCCTAAGGCCCCTTGTTTCCTATCACTTCACAGAGGCAGGGCATGAAGCACTCTTCAGACTTAGCAGAGTCTGCGTTTTAATCACTAACTGCAAATTTTCTGTAGTTCATATTAGCCATTAACCAGTGCAGAGGCTCAGTGAGTGGGAGGCATTAG